AGTGTAATTTATAAAAAAAACTTGTCGGTAAAACGTACTGTCGGTGAATCGTATTGTCGGTGAAATGGACTTGTCGGTGAATTGATTGTCGGTGAATAATACTGTCGGTGAACTGATTTTCGTAAAATGAACCGGAACCTTGCCTCTGATTAAACCGACATCAGGATATATCGGACAATTCCTTTGTTTTTGAGCATATCGATATGACCAGAGTGATGTGTATTATATAAATATGGAAATCTTCATTTAATAAACCTTTCATCTTAGTAAGCCATGTCAAATAACCAGTAAACGGGTAAGGGACTTGCTCCGGGACTGTAATATTGGCACCTCTAAAAAAAGAGAGAATCACGAGTACTAACGCCAAAAGAACTATAAATATCATAAAAAAGTGCCCAAATTCCATCTTTTTTATGCCTGTTTTAAGAGCACTTTCATCAGATAGCATGTTTTTTTGTTTTTTATTGTGATACTTTAATCTTCATCAGCTGTTAAAAATGAAATCCAAAGTCCTAACGAAAGATGAAACCTGAAATCAGAAAAGGCGAAAAATGAAGACTTAGCGAAAGTCAAACTCCGAAGAAAAAACAAAACCTAATAAGGTAATAAAATTGTGCTACAGTCATTACCAGATTTCGTTACGTCAATGTGGCTTTGAAGTTTGTGGCTGTTATTAAATATATTTATTTGTTTTTTACATCTAATGTGTATATGTTTCGTCAAGGGAAAATCATACTTTGGACATTTAAATTTATAATTTACTGTACATAGCATTTAAAAAATCAGATAGATGAGTCAAGTAAATCATAAATTTGAAAGCGCAAAGGTATAAGTTTCCTGACGGCACCATATATGTGAAATAATTTAATTTTAAACCAATCTAAAATTAATGACCTATCGCTATTGGTTGTTAAATATTATTTTATGGCTAAGTTATAAACGTGGTGGCTGCTTATGTAACAAAAAGAAATAAACACAGTTTATCAAGTTAATTCAATATGAGTGCCACAAAGGAAAACCAAACATTGGGGCTTTGAAATTTGTATTTTTATTGTTATTTCTAGATTTGGATCTTGAAAAATCTAATTAAAGCAACATACTTTTGCTCTTATGGGAAACTGAATTTTTTGTTAAAAAAAATACAGTAGTGGAGGATATTATGGACATTTAATCTGATCGAAAATCAATAATATGATAATATACAGAATATTTGATTTTTGATTTGCTTATCTTGATTGCATCTTTGATTTAGATGAGTGGCGATAAATCATTTACGTGTCATACAAGGTGGCGTGAAGACAATTCTATTTTTTAAATTAAAATAATTATTATGCAAATCATGAATGGTTGAATATAATTAATCGTAATACCCATATATAGGAAGTTTCTAATGGTTGTATTGGTGTTGATATAAGGTAAAATTATGAACAATTAGTGTGTTTTTTTTTTGCATTCGTTCTTTAATTAGTGATTATCCTGATAAATAATCTGACGTGTAAAATGATAATTTTGGAAAGCCGATGCATAAACTTTAGTCAGGTCACAAAAAAATTCTGAAATTTGCCTTTTCTTATATTTTTTATTGTTAAAATAGCGATAATGTCAATGATTTATGCTGTACCTTTTTTGGTGTACGATTCTCGATATTCGGTGACATATAGAGAGTTATTCGACATTTCATATGATCATGTGAATTACATGAAATTACGTAATCAGTTTTGCAAAATATCACAGAAAAAACTTCACATGGTCATATTAACTATCCAATAAGTATACATTATTGGGCAAAAATTTTTGCCCAATAATGTATACTTATTATCAGGAATTGATAACCAAAAAGTATTTTCAATCACGTTAGGATACAGGATCAAACTGGCACCTTTACCCAAATAAACCAATATTAAAGGAATATAGACAAAGTATGGAAAAGATATTTGAATAGCTTTTCGACTGAAATGTCCAAGATCAACAAACATCGCCTCCACGCTATTAGAATTCGAAGTTGAAGTTAGACATAAATAATATTTATATACAATAATACGTATACAAAGCAAATAAAAAATTACCCAGTGATAACAAGCAAAATGACACCTAGATCCAAGAACTGAACAAGAAAAGATTGTTAGGTAAATTAATGATTAGAATAAAATTGATACAAAAGAAATATATTTGTTTTACCACAGAAACACCTTTGCGTACAAAATAGTAAAGGCGTAATAGGGGTTGAAAGCTTTAAGGATGGCAGGATATAAAGTAATGTTCCAGATACTAATAGCAATGAGGGATAAAAACCAAAGGAAGGTGATGGGGGCAAATAAGCAACCAACTTTATTAGTACCGAATTGTTGGCCCACAAATAATAAACCAATAATGGAGCTTTTAAAATGAAGAAATAATTAACTTTTTTTTGTAAATAACGATGACAATCCAACTAAACAAATGAAACATAATTATATACCAACTAAGGGGAACAATAGCAACTTTTAAGCTTGGTGCAGGTACAACAATTCCCTCAATA